TAAATATCTCTTTAACCATTAGGTGGTATACAACCAATGTGGTTTAACACTTTTTTACTTGAAATTTAATATTCTTTCGATTTATGATAAAAAAATGTATAGATCGATTAAAAAAATTGACGCCATATTTTGCCTCTCTTAAAAACTATACAACTTTTGTATCAAACAATTTTTCATTAAACGCGTAATTTAGAAGTTGTTTCAGGTGTGCAAGTTACGCTGTAATATCAATTATCGAAAATATTTTACATGTGAATATGGATACGAAATTAATATGTGAATAATTGAAACAGATTATTTATTAAAGTTGAAGGATGAAGAGTTCAACGTTAATTTCATGGAATGAATATAAAGCAATTCTGTGAAAAAAAAAGAAGATTGACGATTCGTCTCGATTGAGCCTTCGTCGAATCGAATGCCAAGTTGAAAGCAATTGTGTAGAAGACCCGGAGATCTCAATCTAGTTGAGTGGATTTTGACGACGATCGCTGCGTATCTAATGCAACGACGAAAATAACCTATCATGAGAATGAAAGAATCATTATTTTCGAAATAATAAATTTGACGACTTTAACGAGTTATTGATTAAGTAAAAGAATAGGTATTTATTTACGTATTTATTTTCGGTGAAACTGAAATTTTGGCAGATCCCGTCTTCTTTGCAAAACCGTGTGAAAACACAAGCGAACAATTTGCTAAAAAAAAAAAAAACTACTTTTCGTACAAGTTAGAATAACGTCAGATTCCCGAAGAGTTGAAAAACCAGAATTCAGCGATTACGTGGAAAGTATTTATTACCGAATGAAGTGCTTTTTTTTTTAAATCAGACTGTTGACATTTTTGTATTCGTACAAAAGTACCGCGAAATTGAATGATACGAAATTGAACACGTGAGCGAGTAAGTATTTGAACTTGATTAATACGATGTTGCGCGAACTGAATTATCACACGAGGGAATAATCGTAATATTGAACGAGATTTCAGCTTAAATTGCAACTTGAGAGGAAGTTGTTAGTTAGAGTAATACGAAAGTTAGTGATTTACCACGCAACTTCCGGTCGAGCCATCAGTGTGGCCAGCACAAAGATGGCCGCGTCGGAGCGGTACCGATTTCCCATAAGCTTTTATACATATTTCAAGATCTAGCAATGGCACTGAGGCTTCCAAAAGCGCAGTGGAAAGTGACTGAGAGGGGCCGTATCGACCCCAGCCAGAAGCAACGCATTGTCCATTCGTGAGCTCCTCTTCCGGCTCTGGTAAACATATTGTTCGCACTACTTTCGACAAAGGAGCTGGCCTGGCTAGCTTCATCAGCGCTAAACAAAACATTTCGTAAATTGTCTCCCCTGCTTTTTAGTTTGCTTATTCATTTGTTTGTAGAAAGAATTAAAAAAGATATGTGCTTTTACTGGAAGTCTAAGTCGAAGAGATAGAACGAAAGGTAATAATTTCAACGTTGTTTTTCAATATCCATCATTTTATTGTTGAAATCGTTCCAAGTTTTCTTTTAATAGAAAAAAGTAGGATGACAGTGATGACTTTAAAGAAAATTGGACAATTCCTCGAAAATTACAAGAATTAGGATTCAAATGAATTTTGAAGATAATAAAGAGAGATGACAAGTGTTGTAAATGTTGGACGTTTTTTTGTCCGAAGTAGCATTTGCGTTTCGAGTATTTTGAATTTTAACTAGAACACATATCAAACTATGATTTCAAATCGTTTATATACCAATATCGTGTAAATAATTGTTGAATCTCTCGTGGAGGATCACCCGTTCAACAGGTAGTCTTGCCGAGCCACGTCCACCGGAGTCTAATTCCCATTCGCCGACCACCGCCGTCCATAATGCACCGATTGGTAAATTGAAAAGCTCGCTGTAAACGAATATCGATCAATTTCATTGGTATCGAGATATTTTACACGTCTATTTTTTTTAGCTCTCTAAGATGGTTACGTCAGATACGTCTAAACTATCTAAGATGCAAATAATATTAATTAAAATAAATAATAATAATTGAAATAAAACATTATTCTATTACAAAAGATAGTTTAAAAGTTAAATTAATTTTCACAGGATTTATATTTTTTTTATCATCTTACAATTAACATATGCAGTGAACTTTAAAAATAGTATGCTAATTCTGTGTGCTAATTTTCATGCTAGATATTTTCCATAAAATAAACTGGTAATCTTGAAATATCCTTGCAACTCTTTTTTTATGATATGGTCCCCTTCATAATTTAATTCATATTTTCATTTTGTTCAAATTGAATAATCTTACCAATAGTTGCACATGTATATAAACGTATTATGCATATATGTTTATATTGATAAATTTAATTAGATAAGTACGTTTCATATTTGTATCAATGATAATCTTATTAACTCAATATATTTTTCCAGATACGCTATACCGATAATCTACCGACAATCTGAAACAAAACTGGTTACTAAGCCCTTATAGTTGGAATGAAAAGTGAGACCCACTTGTGAATGCAATGAGCAGCTGTGACGACCCAAGTGGGCTCAATGAGAACACCGCCGCACCAGTGACCGATAAATCCCAACTTTGGATGGAGGAGCTGCAGGGACACCTGCCAAGGCCAAGAGCCTCGTTTACTCGGCTTTCCATTGAATATCCGACCTGTCGTGCTTCCGGTGTCTTTTCCCTCTGCCACAGAGGAGGAAGTGACATTTTTCACCGACAGAATCGCACGTGGCTGCCTATGCGACGCTGCTGGACATCCGCACGCTGTTATTATAAAAACTCAAGTTTCCCACTTAGTTGACTTTTACTCATAGTCAACGAATGTTGTTTACCGAGCGATTCGATGATTTTTTTTTTTTTTTAACATCTATTATATCCGACATTGATAGAACCTATATTGGACGTTTTTCAATTAATGGATGTTCAATTCAAAAAATAAAGGTGATAAATAACTTTCAAAAGTTAAGAGAGCTTAAGAGGCTTCGAAACACCCAAAAAATTTGCAATGTAAGTCAGAACTGTGAGAATTATTAAAAGTCAATTGTATTTTATAATATTAGTTGAAACAATTAAATATCGGCTACCTAATATAATAGTACTTTGGAATATAATTTCTGTGATGAAATGTAATTCCACAATTTTTATTTGTAACTTTATAGAGACAGACTTAAATGATTATTAACTTGCGAAAGAAAGACTGTCTAACTGTGATCTAATTGCGTCTAAGTGTACATTCATTGCAAGTTAAAAGTGATTTGCAAAGTAAGGAAAGCTTTCTCTATATCTAACTAACAGGAGTATATTTTATAAAAATACACTGTGACATTTAAAAGATAAGCGTGAAATAAAAAAAATGGTAGCTTAACATCGAATTATACTTACAGAAATGATTTTCCTGCACGATCCTCAAGATCGTGCAATCAGCATCCGCGAGAATGAAGAGAAGTATCGCCAGGCCACCGCGGAGATTCATTTCCAACGAGAAACGCACACCATGTACACAACTGTCTTCTGTCAAGCCTGTACACTTTTACTAGCTCATACTCTTCATGTTCTTTTAACTTTTAACTTTTACAATGTACGCGAATTGAAACTTCTCCTTGGTTAATCAATTTTTATTATTTTTCGGTAACATGGCGACGATATTGAATAGACAATTTGGAAGAAAAAAAGATGAAGGAAATACTTCAACGAAGAGAAGATATGTTTATAAAAATTTGCAACGTTTGCGACGTAGGCAAGTAGCAATCCTTGTGGCGGATCGTTCACTAGAACGAGTAAATCCTTCGAAGGAACTTACTTAGAAGAAAGTGATCGTTGACGATTCTCTGATCGAAGAAGGGGAATATAGTTGCGATCGCGACGAACCAGTGGAAACTGGCAGCTCTTAAACAGACGAATATCGCTCTCACTAACGAAAGTTACCTCTCTGCCGTCACTATTTACTTATCTTTCTCGCTCTTCTCGTACCAATTAGAAACGTCCCTTGGCCAATGAGTTCCCTTCTTAATTAAACTAGCCATTTAATTCTTAAGTTGATCTTTTTAAGAATAGAAAAATCTTTCATCAAATTTCAATGACTCTGTTTTCGGGAGAAGAAAGTCTTCGTGGGGGGGAAAAAGGTGAATTCTGATGTTGAAGTTGAAAAGACACTGTTTCGACTCTATTCTCAATTAATGAGATGATCAGCCAGTGTAATTTTATTTAGCCTAATTGTAATTAGTCAGACTTAACGCGATATTTAATTTAGTATTAATTTCATCTTAAACTTGATAAATACACACACACATACACAATTTTGCATCTAAAAAAAGCGAGAAATTTGGGATTGAATATTCTAAATTAAAAAATGAAACTGTTTTCACAGCAAACTCTGTTTGAATCTAGAAAGCTGAGTCTTCTGTCAAAGATGTTTTCTGTTACAGATCTCCCTTTCAATCTATAACGTATAATCAGTTATGAATCATTTAGTCTTATAGTTTCTCATAATTACGCATCATCGAGGAACAAACGTTCTCTTTCTTTTTCTTTCTTTCTTGGCTGACGTCGAATTACCCGATCAGCAAACCTGTTAATCATTCTTTCGTGAAACGTGTTCTCGCTGAAAAACACGTGCAGCTTATTATCAATTTCACTAGACTCACTAGATGAAGAATGGAAGGAGATATCAGTTGAGCAACGCTGAGCAGCGAACTCGAAGGACTCTTCAAAAATTCAATCATAAGTTTGTTAACAGTTACAGTTAATTTATCAGAGTTAAAGAGACAATTCTTAAAGTTTTCAAGTTTACCTTCATATTCATTCTTTCGTAGAAGACAGAAAAAAAGAGTCTCAAACTCTTAGAGATGACACTGATGCCTTGGAAACACACAGTTGCTATGTTTGTTGGAATACACGTGACTCAATAACGTAAGTAACACGTAGATCATTGATTAAACAAAATTGAGGATTAAAGATGATAAATTGTTTTCTGTTTTGAAACAGCTTGTAGAGTTGGTGTTATCGAGGCCATTTCCACAGCGCCAGCGAGGAAAGCGAGGAGGAATGCACTGTGACGTCGAGATAACTATTTACAAGTTCAACACGTTTCGCGAGAATGTTTTTGTTTAACGCTGCTGATTCGTTCGAAGGCAATTATCTAGTATTATAAATTACGAAATTCCACAGTGAGCGACTTTTGGTTGAAACAAGACAGGAAGAATGTGAACGAGATTTCCTCCTTTCTCGAAAGAAAGCGACCCGAGGTAAAATTGTTTTCTACGAATTTTCCTCCGTTATTTATACTTATCTACGGTGCAATTAGTTCTTTCACCTTTTACCGAACAATCTTCTTTTTTTTTTTTTTTTCCTTACGTATTACTGCCTTTAGAAACGATAAGTAGTAAGAGTGATACTTGTACAGAATCGGCTATAATTGTGAAAGTGAAGACAGTAAAAAGCGATGAAAGCGATCCTTTTGTTTTTTTCGCAGAGCGATTTAACATGACCGTAATCTCGTATGTTTCACGTTTAATTTAAACTTCCTTTACACAGAGAATTAAAATAATTTCATTTCTAGGCTTTTTCACTATCAGTCAAAAGTTGACTCTTGTTTCTGCAGAGTGTGGATAAAGTTTAATGATCTGTGCGTTCAACTGTAAAAATATACGTTTTTCGACATGAAAGACCAATACGCATTTTCACTCATTAATTACCAGGGAGAAAGTTTAAAAAAAACTGCTTTCTGATCTTCTTAAAGAACGTGGCTGTCTGCTTGGGTATTTTTCAATTTTTATCCAACTTGTCACATTTTAAAATCTGATAAATACAAATTCTTTTTATCTTGCTGTTAATAATAAATAAATGCAGAAAGCGTTATATTGGACGAACTAAAAAAAATTAAAAAATAGGATCGTTGAGGGAAGATGGATTTATGAAATAGTGCAAAAGAACGCATCAAGATCATATTATTTATATTTTGATCAATCAGCTGTGACGTTGGACTATTGGTGTGGACTATTTATATATGGGTATATTTATTTATTTATTTAGTTATTTATTATTCTTTTTTTTTTGTCATTACAATCGATTGCTTTCTCTCAACAATTTCAGTCGATACAGATTAATCGTAAGATTCGAATTTACAGCAATGCATCGTGAGTAAGCAAATTAGCCTAATTGATACTGCGTTTCTCTCGAGATCAAACAGACTCGGGAAATCGTTACATGTACAATTAATAAGCGTGCTGAACGTGTAAAAAGACGGAATAGATTGAATCCATATAGGAGATAAAAATTGCTACAAAGTATCTTATCAAATGTAATTGACAATACAATGATATATATAGTCAATCAGAACGTCTCCTATTAAGCAATAAGAAACAAAAAAATTGTACTTGTTAATGTTGGACGATTGCAAATGTACTTTATACAGATACATATCTGCTCGAATTTTTTTTTTTCTCTTCAGTGTTTTCAAAGAAGTTCCAACGTCGGAGATGCACGATAAACATTCGCAAGAAGGTATCAGCATTTTTAACAAATAAAATATCGATGTGAACCGAACGATCAAACGAACTGTGACAAAGTCTCTCACCTGTTGCAATCATTCAGCATTTTTCTGAAATTTCGTTTCATCGAAAGTCCAAGCAAAAAGAAGGAAAAAGAGACGAGAAAGGAAATCGAAATACCCGCGTTCAACTGTGTCGTGGAACAACGAACAGTTCGACCTCTCTATTAATTCCACTGCATCAGTAAATCGGTATACAATTCATCGATGTGCGTAAGTGAATAAACGAGTGTATTTACAATATCGATAGAGACAATATTTATAGACGTCGAAAAGTTTAACAAACAGTTTCTCGTGCTCTTTTAGATTTTAGATCCACAGTCAATTACGACTTTAATCGATCGACGACTAGTGATTGTAACAGCATTGCAGGGAAACGATCACGTTATAGTTACGAATCAACAAATTGCACGAGTAAAGGTAATCCCAAGCGGACGACAGAAGACGTCGGAAGAAGACGCGAGGAGTCTCGAGGTTTATCTCTCTTTCTCAATTCTTTCGATCTCAAGTCCATCGAAAGATAAGAAAAATCTTCAAATTCGTAACGCGACATTTCCCTTCACAGACGATTGCTTTCTTTTTTTCTCTCTCTCTTTCTCTCTCTCTTTTAGAAGTGTTCTTTATTGTCTGTTTATTGTTTCGCTTCGCACAACGTTTCAGCAGTCAATTCACTTGCCTCTTTCGAAAATTAAAAGCACACGATCGAAGGATGGAACAGAAATTTTCATGATTCGCCTGTGCCGTGATTATTTAACACGTTCCGTGGCAAGCGATTTTTGCCTTTTGTTGTCGTTCAGGCGTGTCAAAAATGTTGTAGAAAGCACACATTGTAATTTAACACGTTCCGTGTCAAGCGATTTTTGCCTTTTGTTGTCGTTCAGGCCATTTGATTACATCATCAATCGATAAGTAGTTCTCTTGTTTAGAGTAGCTATCACATCCTGTAAATATTACCACTTGTGGTAATATTATTAGAAATATGCTGGTACACGTGGCCTGGTACCACCTGTGGTAATATCATCATTAGAAATATGGTGGTAACACGTGGCCTGAAGATCAAGTTTAACGTGTTATTAGAAAATATGGTGGCACCTGAAGATCAAGTTTAACGTGTACTACCGGTGGTACACATGGCACGGAACGTGCACGTGACCTGAAGATCAAGTTTAACGTGTACCACCGGTGGTCATACGACGGAACGTGTTAAATAATGCGTGTTCGTCACATTTAATCGTCTCTTCGTCTTCTAGATACATACGCGTACGTATTCCTAAGAGATCGTTATCGTTAGTACATTGTACAAAGGTAACGAAGCGGAGGAACATTGTCAAACGATATCTCAGCTATGCCCTAAAAATATATTCTTCACACAAAACCTCTTCTTCTCTCGTTTCGAATCTTGTCTCCCGTCGATACATCGTTTCACGTTTGTACACGAAGCACGCTAAGTATCCTTTTAACCCTTTCATAGGAACGAGAATCATTCTTCCATGTCAATCAAGATCTATCCGCGCATAGATAAGCAATATGAAAATATCGAGATCCCCGTTTCTTTGTAAAATTATATTACACGTTAAATATCAAGTTTCAATGAAATACCTCCAAATGCGCGTAACAGCTCAGTTAACTCAATTTGTAAAAAAATAAATAAATTGACTTTACTAAGATAAATTTATATACATACATACATACATACGTGCATACACATGTCCACATTCAATATGGTTCGTAGTGAAATTTCTTGAAGTTCAAGTTGTGCCTACGAAAGGGTTAATCTCTCTCACGATCAATTACATTATACACGATATATTGATGTTAATCGGGACGTAACGTAGTGTAAAATTTATCGTAATACATAGTCACAGGGAAGATTGTATCGTGAAGTAGATGTACACTGCTCAAAACAATTTGTTGGAATTAACAAATCTTTGTAATTACGCCATTGAAATTTCATAATCCTAGGTATTAAGAAGAAACACAATATACATATACATACATGTGTGTGTATGTATATATATATATATAATTTATTTATTTATTTATTTACTGTATATTAGCTACGTAGATATAATAAACGTGTGTATATGATATATATGTATATATATTTTTTTTTCCTTAGATTGATATATACAGTATTTTATAATATTTTGATTAATAGTTTGATTTTATTGGCTACAGGTTTTGAGCTTGTGTTTCTCGATGGCGTAACCAATGATTTGTAATTGTTCTGAGCAGTGTATATATAAAAGGGTAAGATACTGCGACGATAAAATATTCTACAATATCTTACTTACAAACGTGGTGTAACATGTATTCCGCGTAATTTTGACGGACATATGTGAGCAGTTGATATTTTCATAACACCACAAATAAAAAGTCGAAAAAATTCTTGTCAAAATGTTCACGCGAAACTACTCAATCTCGAAAGAAACAAAATGAAATTAAAACAATTTTTACGTCCATGTTATTTTTTGTTTTTTCAACAATGAAACAAAAAAAAAAAAAAAAGAAACGCGAGTAAGCTTGCACATGTCCTACCTACGCACAAAATATGTTGAGCAAACTTGACTTTGTACCGTACGAATACGTTCAAGTAGAACCTGTCGTTACAATCTAAAAAACACGTCGACTTTAACGCTAGATAAAGATACATGCATACGTATACGTAGGTAAATAGCGACGTGCCCGAAAAAACATATTCGATGATGGTGTGCGCAAAGAAACACGCCATTCGACACCCATTACACAAATTTCTTTACTTACTTTCATTAACTTTGTACTAGCCAAAATTACAACTCGCTTCGGATTATCTATTAAGTTACGCGTTGTTGTTACGACTCGGCTCGAAGTATCGATAGTTGCCTAAATTTAGAAACCTTTCCCCAAATCTCGATCGTTTGACTTCTCTTCGAAGTTTCGTTTCTTCATTTGGTTTCAACGAGAGATCAAATCAAGAATTTGTGCTTTCTGTAGAAATTTAAAAATTATTTTCTCTCCTTCTTCTCGTTTATTCGTTTTCTCATTTTGCGAAAATAAATCAAAACATTTGCTCCAGTTTCATTCGCGCAACGTTCGAATTCGAAATCGGGAAGACCAAATCGAGGTTAGGTTCGATTTGTATTGGATCTCGATAAATTTGTTTAAAAATCGAAGTTGAACAAACGAAGGTATTTCGTGTGACCTGTGAGCGAATTAAACTGAAAAGAGCTCAAGTTCATGAAATTTCTCTCTCTGTACCCTTGTTGGATTGAAATCGAACGGTGAAAACAGAGAAAAAAAATCATCGAATCACCGAAGCGTCGTTCTAACCTCTGTTTCTCCCGCTCGTTTGATTCGATCGATATTCGAAATCGTGGAAGCTGTCGGGAAATAATTTCATAGCAAAGCTTTCTCTTCCCTGATGTTAACGTTGACGTGGAAGATAAAATGGAAGGAATGAGATGCTTTCGAAAGCTTCTTCTTGCGAGCAACTCGACGTTCAACGAACGAAGAAGCATTTTACTAAGGGAAATACACATGCACGGCACGTACTGTATCATATTACATTTTATATCGACGACAAATCGCAAGCGTGTTCGTTGCTTAATTCCAATTATCAATCGTCTTACGTAAGGCTCGATTTACACACGATTAGCACCTTTTCGTTTTACTTTGCAAATCCTTTTTCTTTCTTTCTTTCTTTCTTTTTCGTGGATGTCATTTTGATTCGTTGGACAATATTAAAAGATTCGATTAATTAATTCCTGTTGAAGTAAACTGATAATCTAATATGTACAATAATAATAACAATAATAATAATACTATTAACAACGTTATCATTAGCATTCATGGAGACTAAACTTTTAATTTTGAGATTAAACTCCATCATCTTACCAGCTTGTACTAACAAAAATAACGCAGTTTTTAAATAAAATTGGCTACCGCGATCGTACTGTTACATTCGACTTCCCTTTCGAATTTAACAATCGATCTAACAATTCCATTATACAATACAGACACTGCGTTCGCCAGTTACGTCGGATTTTTATATTAACAATTCATTATAGTACGCGTCTGTCTCTTCGCCGATTCTAGATTAAAATAAGCAAACAAGCGTTGTTTCCTCGTGGTACATACACACAGTCTTAAATTTGTCTCACTCTCGCTCTCCGTTCTAACCTTAAAACATTTTTACCAGCCATACACACTTTTTATTTCTTCTTCTTTGTTTTTTCTTACGCAATTAGGCATATTCGTTTGTTGAAATGGTTTATCGTTTACGATTTTCTCGATTTACTTTTACATGTTACACGATAAATATTAAATGTGATTCTTTTTTTTTTTTCTTCGCTTGTAAGTGTTGCATATACCGTTACGTACTATTATAACACGGATTCTGGCTTCTCTTGTTCTTACGAACAAGTAATTATATCCGCGTGATATGGTTCGCTTTGTTCGTGTTTACTTCTTTTTTTTTCCATTTTCGTTTTTTCTCTTTTTTTTTTTCGTTTTCTTTTGGTTCCAGTTCTTTTTTTTTTTTTTTTTTTATATCTTGGTTTCAAGTGGTCCGTAAATTTCGTGCTCGACGCGTGATAAGGCCCTAAATGTACATTCAAAAAATTCATAAAAACTTCTCGGCAGTAACGATGGATAGACACGTACGAATCATTCGATATAACACATTTCCGGTTCGTGGTACGTTTAACGTCGGAACAGTGACAATACGTCGACCAGAAAATATCTAGTTCGCACGATCTGTGTTTCCTTTCGCCAAGAAATGGTCAGAAAAGAAAAGGTTATAATAATAAAGATAAAAAAATGGCACTCCGAGGTTGCTGACAAATTTATAATAAAAAGAAAAAAGAACAAAGCAACAGAAATAACAGAGTAGGCAGAATCGAGGTTAATGATTTAAAAATGCGATGATACTCTGCTTTGAACTCTATAAAGTTCAGAGTACTCTAGACTCTACAAAATTCAATTCAATTTAACGCGTGTTTTCATGAATTTTCATGAATTTCAGAGTTGCAAACACGTAAGGAAGATTTAATTTTTGAACCGAAGTGTTCAAATTCGTTGCACCAGGCGATGGAAGTAAAAAAACTTCGCGAGAGAACTACATTAACAGGAATACAAACGTAGAAGACGGTTCTGGTAAGTACATCTTTGTAAAAATTCTGCGAAGCACAAAATATTTGCTTGAATTATTATCTCTTCGCGTATTGGAATAATGAAAAACCTAATTCGAGGACGGTAATTTTCATCGAGCTAGAATCGAAAAAGCACCTCCTGTACGACAAATGAGGTAACACTGCAATTTTGAAATTTTCTTTCGCAGACTGAATTTCGTAGTTCAATTATTCTACTCGTTTTGCTTTCAGTTCAATTCGTACGTGTCTGAAAGATAACAAAGCTGCATATTACGTCGCACTCTTGCATGTAATCGTTGGGAAATTATTTACATTAAAAGTCGATCTCGTTATATATATATATATATATAACCAGGTCCGGAATGACACATTTCGGATAGTGTTCAAGTTCACCGAAACGAAATTGCAGCTAAAGCCAATACGGATCATCCTGTAGGTTTGTAATTTATAGTACTGCCCATATTTTAACCGATTATCTCCATTTACTTAATACTAGAACTACCAAAGTAGTTTGTCAACAGTGTGTGTTTTTAAAGAGTGAAATATTTCTTCATAAGATATATAAATAAAAACTTGTATGCTCTCCCTATTTTTTGAGCTCCTTTGATGGAAATTTCATGCTTTAATTGTTGGTAGTTCTAACTAGTCCAAACTAACCTCGCTGGCGTTAAAAGTACAAGTATATACTTTGAAGAAAAATATTTGAAAAGAAGTTGTAATATTGTATAAACTATTCAGAAGTCACAGTAATGATCAACTTCGTTGATTTAAAAAAAATATGGAATAATGTTTTAGATACTATTTAAAGTATTGAAATAACGTTTGTACAATTTCCTTGTGATAAATAAAATGGAAGTAAGTCTATATTACATCATTGAATGGGCTATTCGTATTTACCATCAAGTTGGATACCGGATGTCACTGTTTGATATTACATACACATTTATGTATGAAACAAACAAAGACAAAATTTTCCCTTGCTAACCACTCAGATTATAACTTGCTCGTTATATAAGACAGTACTATACATTACTTACATTTACATTACAAATATTCAATTATTCGATTAAGCATCGAGCTGATTTTTGATTTCCTTCAGTGTGCTTTTTAATCGTACGTTTTTTGCAAACGCGACCTTGGAAAAATTTGTTGTCTGTGGTGTTGTTCAAACATCACTATACACGTATGTGTATATACGATATCAAGAACTTCGATAATCAAGTTTCACCTAATTTTTCCACTGTGAATCTCTGAACACAAACTGGCATCGAATCATTTTAGTATAATTTGTATTCTTTCTTTTGCTTTGTTCTAATTAACATTACTTTTGTAGGTGATGTTCTAAATGATATTCTAAGTTCTAAAGTAATGTTAGTATGAAAAAATGCGAAACGTTCTCTCTTAAAAAAAAGAAGAAAAAAAGAAAAGATGATGAAAACTAGGTGAAACTGCATTATTGATTTTTTTTTTTTT